CTGAAAAGGCTAGCTGCAGATCCGTCCCGTGTCCGAACATATGATTTTTGTCACCCATCGTCGTTCGACAAATCGACAATTTTATATGGCGCGAAAGGGTCCTACAAACGACCGTAGTGCAGCTGGCGGATTTCTGGGGATCTTTATCGGACGTACCTATGTCCAAAACAAGCATACCGATGGATGTCCACTGGATTCTTGTGGCCCATTGGCTCACAAGGGAAGGGATAAGGAGGGATTAAAAAAGAGAGAGAGGAGTAAAGATTGAGAGAAAAGTAGAAGTTTGGGGGCATAAGCGTGTGGAGGAGGGGGGAACCGAAAGTTCATCACAGCACCCACTCCTGTCACTGTATGGGTGCTGGCTTTGCGTCCCCCTACCACCCCACCCTTCGTGTGCACGACTATGATTCGGAGACAGAGAATTTCGTGGATGGGGCCTTAATCAGCGAGTGGTCGTCGAAGAGATGACTTTGTAGACGAGGCAACCATCAAGCACGAAATCCGCCAAGCGACAGAGAGCTCTAGGAAGCAGCACATAGCCCTCCAACTTGAAATTCAGGGGCCTAACTCCAACTCCTCCAAACTAGCTCTTTCCCATCACCGGCCACTGCGGCCCTGTATACGAACATTTCCCCTAACTGTTTGGCATACGATCAACTCGCCATGTTGCCTCATTTGATGTGGCGGTACACTGGCTTGCGCTTTTCAACAAGGAAGCATCAGGTCAACGAAATAGACTTCTTATAGGAAATCGCACCTCCACACCTTACGCAACAACTTCGGGCGGGCTAGAGAGCCTGCAAAGCGATCAGGTACCTTTGTCCGCGACCCCGGTACGGGTGCTGTCCTAGAGAAGCCCTTAGGAACCTTCTTCCCAGGATACAAATAACGTTCATCTGTCTGTCTGTCATTCTCCTGTTGCATGTGTGCCACAGTAACAGAGCGTATTAAATAGTGGTGGGGCCAATACAGACCCTTGGAGCCGTCTAGTTTGCTTGTGAAAGAAGACAAACAAGATTGAGAGCAATGAAATTATCTGCCATTTAAAAAGGAATAAACCCATGCAATTAAGTGATGTAGTAAACTTAAAAATGTTCCGTACTGTATATGCTTTTGAAATATACAGAGTTACTAAAGCAGTAACTCGTCTTATAACGAGCAAGTTGTATTCTACTTTCTAAGTCGACATGGGCACACCAGATGGAGCCTTCCATGCCTGAAGCCAATTTAACATGGGCTCAAGATTGTTTTCATTCGACCAATTGTCTATATGAATGTGTCAGATTCTCTCTATTAGTGTTACCAGATTCGATGTGAGCGATGTAGGCCTGATGTTATCTAATGTAAACCTAGCTTGTACCTTGTTTATTAAATAAATGATTTTTGCAATTTTCCAAATGAATGGTACGTATGAATTTCTAATAGAATGGTTATTGATTGATTGATATGTGGGTTTTAACGTCCCAAAACCACCATACGATTATGAGAGACGTCGTAGTGGAGGGCTCAGGAAATTTTGACCACCTAGGGTTCTTTAACGTGCACCCAAATCTGAGCACACGGGCCTACAACATTTCCGCCTCCATCAGAAATGCAGCCGCCGCAGCCGAGATTCGATTCCACGATCTGCGGGTCAGCAGCCTAGAATAGAATGGTTAACAATTGGCAGTAGGTCCTGGGGTAGAACTTTATGGATAATATTTATAACCGATGTAGTCGTGCCATAAGGACTGGGCACAGAATTGGGTCACGTCTTCCCTATTTGCGCCAATTGCGAAGCGGTGATCTCGTCGAAGTCTTCGTCTCTTTTCTCAAGAGACACCGAGACCCCCCCCCCAAGTAGCTAGAGAAAGCAGACGTGAAGCAACTTTCATGTCTTTTTGCAATAATTTCACGAAAACTAGACATTTCATTCGGCATTGAGAAACCACCGAATCAATGTTTACGTCTTTCTACACCTACGACTGGAATTGAGGCTGAAAAAATCTCCTAGTGGCATCTCAACAAAACATGGTTGGAAGCGTCGGGAGCTGTGCTTTGCCGTCAATCCAGCACATTTTAAATAGTTTTTAGGAGTTTCTATTACATCAAGCATTTGAGACTTATTGAAGTGTGACGTTATTGTAAGGCACAGGTAATGTTACCTTAGGCCTGCAAACTGAAAATAAAAATAAAAAGTAACTGCCAATTTGTTTACAATACATGTTGGTGGGCGAGTTTACACTCAGCAAAAAAGAAACGGTGCCCATAAGAATTGCACAAATACAATAAGCAGGCAGGAACTTTATTTGAAACAGGCTTGATGGTTTTGCTCTGGGTAGGCAACCATGGACTTGTAACCAGAGTGTGATGGTAAACTAGACTGTGGCTTCATTACCAAGGCTCCCAGTCAGGGTTCAGGATAGCCTGAACAATTAGCAGTTGTTTTCCCTTCATACTGCCAATATAAAGGTCACTGCAAGCTAATGTGTTAACACCACATTTAGGGCACTAGCTTCAAGAAGCAGAGCTGGATAAGAAAAAACTAGGACAACGCTTGAGCTCCATTTGCTAGCTAGACAAGCTTCTCAGTGGGCACCTAAGCAATGCCACAAGGAAGAGAAAATGTGTAACATTGGCAGTGTTCAACTATCTTAGAATGTCAACATAAAAATAAATGTAAGCTCCAACTACTCCGAGAAAGTTTGCATAAGTGGCTAACTTAACCACATTTACTAATTTAGGCGAGACTATCAAAATTCAGATTGGTGGTGTCCTTACACAGACACTTCTTGGTGCCCCTGGTTTCAGTAAAAAAAAATGTTACCTTTCTGCGCAATTTCTGCAAAGATTTTGGCATCTCTCTTTGTCAAATATAAAGTTTCAAGTAGCGACCACAAACTTGACCTGTACAATTGTAACCTAACCTAACCTAAATTATAACTGTGTGTAGTATTTGTGTTAGTAGCGAGAATGTACTTACGATTTCAATGGAAACCATGTAGTAAGACTCTCCCGCACGGATGAATTGGTTTTGAGGGCGGCGCTATTGGTTCCCAAGTTGTAACCGACTGCAGTACAAGTAAAGCTGTGGAGTGCCCAGTACGCTTTAATTCATAGTTCAGCGAATTGGGGAGTATTCCTGTAAAACAAGATTCTCAATACTGTTGTGTTTAACTACCACTCCAACGACCAATTCACTGCCCCTGAACACACAGCGTGTCGCATAAACTCTTATTGGCACATGAATATGCTTAACACACTGGTACCAACATCTTTCACCTCAGAACTCTCAGAACTCGGACATCAATTCCTAGACAACACAGAGTACTTTTATTCAGCATACTTAGTATACTGTTAGCATATACTCACCTTGTACCCTTACTGACTGTTTAGAACAAAGCAATCAGAATAGTAATTTGCAGCTTGTATAGCAGCCATTCCAAACAGCTATTCTATGTCAATATGTACTTACAGTACAGTACAGTGGTAGAGTCTAACAATCTGGTTATCTAAAGGGCCACGCTCACCAGGCCCTATAACAAATTTTAGTTTGACTGTGGCGATTGTGTCCGATGGCGAGCATTATGCCACAAAAAAACTTTCAATAAGTTCAGTATAAGCCGAAAAAATTGGTATTTTGAAGCGACATGAAAGGATGATGCAAGGACAAACTCGAAACTCTTGCCACTTTCCCCGCGTAGCCTTCGCAAGCCAAATACCTTTGCTACCCGGACATCGGACCAAGAGGTCACGTGTGCTTGATGTGCCCAAATGAGCCAAACCCCTCGGCACGTGAGCGGCGGCATTTTGTTGACCAGCGCTAACCACGGGGACACAAGTGAGTATGAATATCGAAGACACATTTGCACCCGTGTCTCATTGAAATTCACAGGAAAAAAAAATGAAAAAGATGCACACATTCCCTAGGCATCTTTCAATACTTCTCTCGAGTTATATTCAGCTATTCAGGCAACAATTCACATAAACTACACATGTCATGCGAATTATTTTTGCCATGTTACGTGCTGCTGTTGGCCACGGCAAAGAGGACCAATATCGCACCACTACCGTCTACGAAGGGCAATTCCTATGTCAACGTCATGCCCTCATTCTCCAAACGCGCCCGCAAAGGGAAGGGAAAGCAGCGTTCATCTTGAAATTCGACCCATATCCGTGGCATGTAGCATTGCAATTTTGGCAGACGTGATCGTGCACACCCCATGTACGCTGTACGCATTGCGCTCTTTAGCTTGAAATTGTCAAACCTGGTGAGCAGCCCTTTAAGCAAATCAAAATAGATGGCCCATTTCATCATCCCATCTCCTTCACTTCTAAACACCAACATTAGATATTCTTTGCACAAAAACTTCATGCCGAAAATTCGAACTAAAGGTAATGCATTTTCTATATTGAATTGAATCAAAATCAATGACCCTTAGCTCATTTATCAAAGAATTAGTTTCTTACATATCTCCTAAAGCATACTGCTGAACTTCTTGATCTCTATGCGTAGTATTGTAATTTTTTTCCTCCCCATCCATTAATTTTTTCTCATGCTTACGACTATGTTCAGGAAGTCCCAATTCAGTCTCAGACCGAGTAGTTTTTCATAACACACGGCCGCGATAGTGCAAACTGAGCACTATGACATTACATTCATATGTGTAGCATTTTTATCAAATTGATTAAAGCAGTACTAATACAAAAATCATTCAGCCATAGACACTGACATTACACTCAGAAGTGTAGCATTTTCTCAGTGTCTACAGCTGAGTGTTTTTTTGTACTAGTACTGCTTTAACCAAGTTGGCGAAAATGAGCCAACCTAACATCTAATGCATAATAGGGTATAATCTAGACAATATTGGTAGAATTACAGATTCACAGCCAATGGGCTTTTCTCTAGCATTCAAGCTATCGTTCTACAAGCTATAATAAGTATCCTGCATAATTTTGCACCTCTTCTCATAGAGAAAAAAATAAGTTGGCACCCAAGAGACCACAAAAGAGAAAATGCGTGCAGTCAATAGAACTCCACAAAACAAACGCTTTATTTTTTTTCTTGCTTTGTCTCTTCTCACTATGACCACCTTCATGAATTCTGAAAAATAACAATAATACATTCAGCCAGTTCCACACCATGAAAATTATCATCCTGATCGTCTAGCGTCACTGTCTTTTTCTACATTTTATTCACTCCCCCTATCATTACAAAATAGAATTTTTTGCTCTCTTTATATAACTTTCATGCTGATTTCAAATATGTAATTGGTTTTGTTGTAAGTTGCGCAGTTTTCGTTTTGTGCCATGACTAAATAATATGGTTCGCATCTTTTTATGCCATTAAACTCTATACAAATAACTATCAAGAAAGTGCATATAAGACATTTTAATGGATAAGAATAATTGTAATGTCAGAATTCCTAGAATTCTCCACCAATACTAATGATTTTCTGTAGCTTCGTAATAATTATGGTTTAAAGTAGAAATTTGCACCCTTCATGTGTTAAGAGATATGCGGGCAAAATTTCATCGTGATTTAGCAATCAGAAGTACCAAAATTATCATGTCTCATTTCAAGCAGTTGCTCAAAAACGGATCTTGAGAAAAATGCATTTAAAAGGTATAGCTCACAGCTCATCTATGGCGCAAAGATATGTAATTTCTTCCATCATGAGAGCTTGGTAATCATATTTATAGCATGTGGCTTTAGTGAACCCCTCATGCGAAATGCCATGGCAAGCAGCCAGGTGACAATATCCAGTGGACTCTAGACTCGCCCTTGGATCTTCCAGCCTTGAGACACTGTGCCAGTTTGGCTTCTCTGGCTACTCCTAAGTATACCAGTATCTTATCTCCTAAGATGAAAATGTGCCTCTTTACCTCTACGCTATGGGTCTAGCAAGCCAAGCCGGCGGATGTCATCTTCCGACAGCTCTTCGCCCTCCACCAACGAATCGTCAAACGCAATGCCGAAGTCCTGCACGTCTTTCTGGTTACTTCCATGTCCCTGAAACGGGCTCACGTCCTGCCGCATCTCGAAGCTGGACGGCTGCCCTCCACCAAGCCATGTCTGCTGCGACACCCGAGCAGGAGAAGAAGCTGCGGCGACACCAGGCTGCTGGGGCACATTCGAAAAGTGCCAAGAGGAATGGATTGCCGCTACAGGTGATTCTGCTAGCACAACAGAAGTGGCATTTATGTTGGAACTGGCCTGTGGATGTCCTTCAAACTGGCTCGTGGACGCGCACCAGGAGGCACCTGGCTGATGCAAAATGTTCGATGTCTGCCGAGCAGAAGCGATGCTCACTGGCTCTGGCTTCCGTTCCACCAGAGCGGATGATGGAGGGATGTGGAACCCAGGTGGCGGTTTAACTTCCCGTTTCCGCACAGCCGCATCCAAGAATGTCTCTAATGGCCGCGAAGAGGCCGCAGCAACATCTGGCTTTTGCGATACGTTTGGACAGGACCCCGAGCGTGGTTGCCATTCGGTAGTCCCCACTGCAGTACCGTCGTCGCCCTGACCTTGCGATGTTGGAGCGTTTTCTGAGACCTGTTTTTGCCAGTCTTGCAAAGCATCTTTGATCTCTGCACAGATCTGGGCCCAGACCTCTTCTTTCGTCATTTCCACAATGCGCTTGTACATTTCCTCCTGGATAGGCATATCAAAATGTGCAGCATGTAGGTGCTGCTACACGCAACAAGGTTCTGTATTGTTCGAACTAACACACAATTATAAGGCGATCGCATGAGTAGTAGAGCCCAGCGGCCGTTCTTGTGACCGATCTCCTTCCTGCACAGATCATGCTGGCTATCTCGTATTAGTGCATGGACATAGACATAGCATGCACATTGCGTAGTTCCTCCCAAAGTACATACACTTTATGTGTCACCAGAGACACACAGGAACTATTTTTACATCGTACATATGTGCAGTTATTAGCAGTATTATATCGTGTAGACTAAGTAGGTGCTTAAGGCACCTATTTAGGTTTGGACACCATGCATGCATAGATGCTCATAGTGCTGGCGTATAGTGCCTTTGCACAGCCAAATGCGATTGAGGGTTCGACTTCAGTTTGCAGTAGCAACAATCTAATAGGAGTGAAACGCAACAAAAGTCTACAAAGTTAAGAGTATTTGGATCCCCAAGTAAGAAACACACCTAAGCATGAGGTCTTAAACAGTCCTTGACCTTCCATTCACAATGTCCACATTCGTACTTCAAAACCCGAAGCCTGTGACTGACCTAGTTGAAACTGCCTTGTGAATTTAGGTAGTTCATTCCCTTGCAATTAATTTGACTCACTAGAAAAGGCAGGAACCATTTTACAACCTGCATTGGTGTCGAATGGGTGCAGTGCAATCTGCAGCAACTCAATAGAAAAAAAAATTGGGGGCAGCTACAGAGGACTGAAAAAACAGCAGAGCTGGTGACCTTTTGCTCTGTACCTTCAGTTCTCATTCCAACCACCTTGCCAAACCAGACATGGCTATTGCCGTCCCCTTTACTCTCACTTCAGTTTCTCACCCTGTGCTTATGCTATAATAGCTATGCTGTTCTCCTCTCCCCTCCCCTGAGCCACGCATCTCCCACCACTTACTATATTATACTATACATGGCTACATGTTTTACTCTCTCCCGTTTTCCCTTATTGCCCCCACTTCACTTTCGATTTCCCTTGATATACTACTATATTAATGACTACTCTATGCTGTAAGTATCCTAGCGATGCTATAATCCTTACTTTTTTCTACCCCTCACTATGCTGTAATTTATAGTATACCCTGGGTGAAATTGCGGAACGATTATATTCCTAGCTTTTTCTATGCTTTTTGCCACCGTTGGCCATCCGCAGTTGGTCAGAGCGATGCTTCGACCAATCGCTGATTATTGATATGCTACGACCAATCGCAGACTGCTAATGGCGGCGAAAAGCATGCATAGAAAAGGAGTAGAATCGTGCCGCAATCACACCCCCTCTCATTGTTCCGTTTGCGCCGCATCACTGTTCTTCACCTTCACTTCCATTTCCCATCCCCTTATTAAACTATATTTACAAGGTTATGCAATGCTTTACCCTTCCCTACTGCTTTCCTTGCCTCTCCCTCTCCTATCACTCATTACCCTCACTGCCCTTTCCCAAACCAGTGCTGTCCTGTACAATCCATGGCTATGATATGCTAGAAGCTTCTCAACACACATTCGCTTACTATTAAGCATACACGCCCAGGTATGTTCAGCTTTGCACCACAGAAGCGTGTGTCTCTGACACATCTGAACATCGATCGCTTTCACTCAGCCGATCTGCTCTGATGATGTCGACCGTACACAGTCGTCGGTGCTCCCGCTGCCACGTTCGCACGGTTGAGCGCTGCCTGTTCTAAATTGCCGCTTTTAGGTGGCTATGGGTGTACAATCGGCAACTTTCTCCTGTAGGTTCCTTTGCACCAAGCTTAAACAGCTCCACTATTAAAATGTTAAAATGAATATAGTATTGGACACATTTTTCAATAGTCAATCATTATTTCTAAATGAAGGGTACGTTCCATTCCGAGAGAACGTGCAGTAAACACCCAATAGATGTCATGAAAATAGTAGATGGGAAAGAAGCACAAAAGTGTGTTGCATACTCACATTGAAAGGAAAATTTCCTTGTCTGGCTTTACCGTCACCTGCAAAAAACAACTGCATTTTAGCATGGATTTTCTGACATTCGCAGGCAATAAGCCAGTTGAAGACCCTCCTTACTTGATGTCAGTTCTGGCAGATGTCTTGTATCTGTAGAATGGGGCTCAGAGGTACGAGAAGGGGCCACTTTCATCTGCAAGGAGGTGTCCGCAGTTTGTGATGCCACCCGTAGAGATTCCCGGTACGCTTCCATTTGTAAGTTGCTATTGTCAGTTAGAGACATTGACTGTGGGAGTGGCGAATAGGCTTTTGGTTGCACATGTGTGCTGGTGCGTGAAGGCAACAGTGTACGTGTTTGGTTCACATCCTTCTGTGGGCAGATGTTCACCTGTGACATCACCTGTGGAGCTTGCTGGTAAGCTCCAGTTTGAGGCTGGATACCGATGCACGGATGGGAACGTGTCGGTGGCTGGCACGCATCCTCTTGGTGTATGTTCACCTGCGGTGACTGCCTGTACATTTCCATCGACTTGTGATGGTTGCCCACAGCTGGGCCCCTCTGAGCATCCTTGAACAGGTTGTTGAGCTCCAGCGTAGAGCTGCAGTCAGAATGGGCAAAAGGTGCAAGGGTCACAATGGCAGGCACAGTTGTCACTGACAACTTAGCAAGATTGGCAGTCTTTTGGTGTACACTCACAGTTAGGTGAAGAAAAACAAACAATATAAGTGATTGAAGAACTCAGGACAAGCGTTTAAGTGCAGATTTATGTATATTGGTCCATGTATACATCTCTGTTTATCAGTTAGTGTGACAGTACTAGTGAGAACCCTTCAGTTACATAAGAACTTTTAGATGCGAAGCAGCTCTTTGACTAGCCCGTGTAACACTGTCCGCCCGTGTCTCCGGGTCAACACGCTCCCCTCGCTGCAGTTGCTGGAGCGATGCCAAATAGGTCAAGTTGCAGCTGCGCATTGACGTCACTCTCTCCCTTACCCGAAGCAGCTGCTAGCTCCTCTGCCAGCTCGCAACACACTTCTCCCTCGCTTCACCCTCTCCACTACTCGACCGCATGTCGAGTGGAAACACTGGACAGACTTAGTTCTGCGTCCGCAGCAGCCATACGGACGCAGCCTGCCATTGCAAATGGCTAGCAGGCTGTGTCCGTACGGGTTCTTCGGACGCTTGACTATATCCGTCTACTCTTTCGACTCATTTATCTGCAATGAAACTTACACGAAACCCAACCCACCTCCCGTGTCTTTGTGTTTGAATACACGTTTACTCGAGTAAACGCTACCAATATTCGCTTCAAATCATTCTTCTAGCACCCGCGGCGACGCCTGTTTCAACGGGGTAAACACTGTGTGCACCGCTGCTGCTTCCCATTTCATCGGAGTTCCCTTCGGAAAGATGGTCCACAATTTTTTAAGCATCCTTTAATTGATCTTTCCTTCTGCTTTCCCAACCATGAAACACCAGGCGTTAACATCAACTAACTCTTGCTGCAACACTGAAGTGCTACACTTTTTTTTAAATGCATATCACAAAACTCTAGGAGGCAAAAATTAATCCAGAGCCCAAACTACTCTGCTAATTCGTAAACAGGTGTTGTGTTTCGCTGCTAGTGATTATTAGCTATATCTGAGCGCTTTGTAATGGGTGGACTTTCAAAACACCTACTCGTTCAAGTCGCATCTTTTGATGCCTGGTGCGATATTATGCTTCTGTCACGCCGTATTGTGGCTCTGTAGTAGAACGCCTGCTTGCCATACAGACGACCTGGGTTTGGTCCTCACTTGGAACTGAAAATTTCTAAAAATTTTTATTCATTTTATTTGCAGCTTTCTCGGTTTATTGGTCATAGACAAGCTTTTTTGCTCATAACCAATGACGCAGACGCCAATGCTGGAATTTTCGCAAAACAAGCTCTTCCATGCTATGGAATTAGAATTCAGAGGTTAAATATCTGTCTAGTTAGTATTGGTTCACAATTGCTGAAGCACAAAATACAAAGACAATATAGAGAAATGAAATTGATTGATATGTGGAGTTTAACACCCCCGAAACCACCATATGATTATGAAAGACGCCGCAGTGGAGGGCTCCAGAAATTTCGACCACCTGGGGTTATTTAACGTGTACCCAAATCTGAGCACACAGGCCTACAGCATTTTCGGCTCCATCAAAAATGCAGCCGCTGCCGCCGCCGGGATTCCGACCCACGACCTGCGGGTCGGCAGCCGGGTACTTTAGCCATTAGACCACCACGGCAGTGCTAGACAAAATCACAGAATGAAGAGCCGAATGGTGAAAAAGGCGCTTTCATACAAACACGAAGCTCGTGCATGCTTGCTAATGACACGTTGCGACACTTACACGTCCAAACACACCGGCCCTGCACAAGCGAAGTGAAATGCCGGAGAGATAATAAACTTCCGTCAAGCAGGACGAGTACTTGTAGACATACGAAAAATTTTGATAAATAATTGGCAATGAACTTGTTCGTAAATATATACGACTGGTTTTCATTATTTCATGCCGGTGTTTTTTGTTTAGCCACAAGAGGTACGACAAGCATGTGGGGTGATGGTGAGCCTTGCGCTTGGTTGAGCGAGTAAATGTTCAACAAAAAAGAAGGTCAGTGGCCCAATCAGGAAAAAAAAAGAGAGAGGCTCTAAAGCCAAAAGCAAGAACTAACCTAGAACTCTCCTAGAGCTAGCCTAGAATGCTAAAAGTTATTTTATGCTAAACAAACCCCCGTATTCAGAAACACTGCTTGACTTGAACTTGACGTGTCACCAACTCCAATGCAGCACAAATGCATTTCGAACACGCTGTCTTTAGGCAGCACAAACGCACAGACGCATTTCAAACGCACTGAATTGAAAGCGGTTTCAAGTGAAATTCAAGTCGAGGAGCATTTATGAATAAGGGGGTAACTCTTGTTATGTTACTTTTTTGCCACAAGCAAGCAGCGACTAGAACCAGTTTTCTGCCTTCCTTGCTGAAATCAAAGCACCTGCTGCATTCGAAGTTGAAATTATTATATAGTCAGATGAACTTCTTTGATCTAGCGGATAACTCGGCAGCTTCATCGACATCTGACAGTATTCGCGTTGTAGCATGTATGATAGGAGATTCAAGCATGCCTTTGCAAGTCTTTGATAAAAGTGTTGCTGGACCCGCGGCCGCAGAGCTGCTGCCTGAATTCCTCCTCGGTTAGCCGCGGCGCTCCCTTTGGTTTTGGGCCCAGCCAGGCCACATCACAGTGGACAAAATCCTCCCCGCCCACTCGGCCCACCATGTAGTCTACGTTGATTATAGCCCCTTTGCGCAGCACTCGTGTCAAATTGTTCAAATACGGCCGTCCCTCATTGTAGAAGTTGTCCACGGTAATCGTCAACTCCCGGACACTTGGGCCTTCCCGGACTTCCACGATGGCAGCAGATAAATCGACCTCCATCACCGTGCCCTTCAGGCTCACAAAGCTGTAGACCTTGGGCTCCTTAGCTGAAGGATGACCTCCGGCGTCCATGGCGGTCAAGGAAGCCTGCGAAACGTGCAAGTTTAGTCTCATGCATAGACCAGAGGTTGAAAACAAGAATGCAGACAGTAACAAGAAAACCGATTTTTTTTTTCTTCAACTGCTAAGCTGGCATTTCACAGTACAAGAAGCGCTCTCTAGCTGTGACAGCATGCTTGGAGAATCTGAAAAGATGCGAAAAAAAATATAGGCGGCAAAGTCTTCAGATTGTTACGCTGCGTCACCCTGACATCACAGATTCAGACGACGTCTGTCATAGCAAACATTTCAATGTCTTGTTTTTTCTACTTTGGCCACATAATTAAATTCATGATAGTTTACCGAAACTTGGGGTGAGATTCATTTTCACATTCTAGGTGTGACAATTTTCGGGAAACTGTCACAGAGTCAATGTGGCCCAAATATGACAGTATGACAGAAGTAAGACATTGATGCCTGTTCTCTATCGTATTGTTATGATGAACTTTTTATAAATGAAATTAGCTCTAACCTCTATCTAAATGTTCCAGTTGACGCTCGACAAAGTAGCACACCAGTCACTATTTGCTTTTTTCACTTAATCGTTTTGTTTTAGACTGGATTCGTGCTTTTTCAACGAATAGGATGCAGTTTGTTTCTGCTAATAATCGTTTTCTAGCAGAAGCCCTGTTCGGTCCGGAGTACCCCAACGCCCAGTCACTGGACCCCTCCTTTTTCTAATATATATTGCCGATCTCAAAACCCACATCCCATGTAACGTGCGGGGGTTAGCAGACAATGGTGTCATTTACTGTCACAATCTATAACACAGAACGTCTACCAGAGTATGTCTACCAGAGTACGTGCTGTGAAACGCAGATTTTCTGTCAAAGCATGCAGTATCTTGGCATCTTCAGCAACTTTTCTTCATCCTCACATCACAAGCATCATTACCAAAACTAATCGCACATTAGAACATTTTCGAAAACGCTTGCGTCTTGCCCCCTCAACCGTTAAACTACTAGCTTATCCAACATGCGTACGGCCCAAATTGGAATACACATGCTCTGCTTGGGGCCCACATCAAACTAACTAACCTTTCTAAACCATTTGACGTAGTACGAAGACGCAGCTCGCTACTTTAAAGATGCCTCACACTAGCTAGTGTTACAAAACATATCTCAAGCACATCTTGATAACCTGGAACTATGATGCCTTAGGGGTTACGTTGTGCCCTTTTCTCAAGTTTTATTGTTGCTCTCTTAGTACTTCAATCTTGCCTGACAACCACAGCAGCCTGTACCACCAGTACAGCCTGCTGTGTACCTACGCTCTTCTTTTATAAAGACTGCAAGGGACCGGAATGCACTTTTTAGGCACAGCGAGAGACTGAAGAAGATGGAAGAGTACAGAAGTGAAGCAGCACAGATGCGCCCTGTTCCCAAACATGCTGCCTTGTCAACTAATGCAATCTTTCAGTACTATTGAAATGCACCACCCCATTCTACATGGTACTTACTCTACTCCGACCTGCATACCTTCAAGTGTTCCACTGAATCATAGTCATTAAATTTATTAACAGCCCAGTCCTCGTGTGAAACAGCATGCTGAATTAGTTGAGGCATTAGTAAATAAATAAACATAAGAGGTACAGATATTCTCTCGTGAATTTATAGAGAAAACTTTATAGGTATGTTTTTCTGCATAATATTGGACCCGAGAGAGAGAAAACTGCTACAGGTCTCTCAGAGAATGATCTCTCAGTTTAAGCTGACTTACTGTTTCCCTCTATCGTCTATTTTTTTTTTATTAATGTATATAAGGAGAAATGTATATAAGGAGAAATTGGCGCCAATGCATGGCGCCTGCTACTCCTCTGCTTGTAAAACAGTCCTCTCATATTAGCAAGCAAACACAAGGCTATACAACACCCACGCACAAAGTCAAAGTTCTTCAATACGAAAATTTGTCCACGCAGCACAGAAGCACGGAATTGAAATGTTCATACAAAGAATTAAAGTTCACTAAAATTTTGTCAATGGTGACCACGTCTCTCAGAAATAATCTATTAAATGCTGCGCTAAAACTTCAACAACAATAAGGTTTTCACAAAAAAATTTCCTTCCAATATGAAAACAAGAATATTGTAGCAAAACATACCAATTAACAATAACATGAACACATTTTTTTCCAATTTAGTACTTTTGCAATGCTACAGATTCCTTCGGAAATTCAACTACACATGCACGAGTGCTTTATTAATTGGCCGAAGATCTTCGCTATTGAAGAGGGCTGCTTATTCGAAGAATTCAGTTTTTGTAGAAGATTCTTTCCAGGTGCATCATATTTGTTTACAGCGTAGAAGAATGTGCTCTACGTCTTCTTCAGATTATCCACATGAGCAGTGTCACCTGTTATTTTATTATTTCGCACAGGAAGCCCTTGTTGATGTATCACTCATCTGTAGAGGCAGCAAAGATATATTATTCTCCTAGTGTGCTTCTAGTGCCATGCAATCAGCTGCATCGTTTCCTATGATTTCATAGTGGCATGGTACTCACTGGAACAATATGCTGTGGCTTAAATCTTTCACTATAGTGAAAGTTTTCATAAGCCAGCACACTAGCTTTAATGCCTAACCTTATTGCCACAAACTAATGATTGGCAGTAGACATGTGAAGCATCAAGCAGAGTACTGCATAAAGCTCTGCAGAGTCGTCGTGAGATGGCTGAGTGTTAGAAGCTTTTTTTTTCCTCTTGATATGCGAAATGCAGAATGCAAACATAAAACTCCGATTCAGACATGATCCATCGCCATACACATGAATACAGTCATCCCTGTAAATGAAAAAAAAAGGGAACCAAAAAATGCCCGATATAATCGCGGTGAGAAAGAAACAGCCGCATTGTTCGACACGTATTGAAATGCAATGCCACTGGTCTAAAAGGGAATTGTGTATTTATCAGGCTAATGGCATTACCTTTTGACACAAAGCAGACAGTGCGACTGTTGCTTCCTCACCAATATTATATGTTCTTAACACGCATCATTCTTTTGTTTCGTTTTCATTTTCCTGTATATATTTTCCCTTGCAATAATGCACACAGTTGTTTGTCAACACTTTTGTTGCATGCTTGTTCCCCCTCTGTCCTGTTTCATCAGTGATTTTTCATCAATGTATAGAGTACCAAATGGCCCTTCAAGACACCCTTCCATGATATATGATTGCAGTAGCAACTTCTGTAAACAATTCTACTTTTAAAATGTCTGAAGTGCGGCGACCAGAAGGTCAAAGGCGATACAGTGCGGTCACTTACGATTCCAGTGACTGACGGCCACTTGGGTGCTTCTAGATCCTGTAAGCTTCTGGATCCTCCTTGCTGTCCACTGCACAGAAAAATGTTGCCACCAAATAGAATTGGCAAAGGTTTAACTATTGTAAGCCTAGTTGCAGCGAACAAAGGTTATGTTTAGCCTTGTTTTGCAAGGACCACTCGGAGCTCAAAATTTAGTAGTGGCATTGGAGTCTACAGCCACCTCTAGAGGACTTTCACACATGTGATAACGAAGATGTGTGCAACTCCTATGCCCCTGCTTGTCTTGCCCTTTTGTTTGCCGAGTGGCGTTCTTCGGCTCGTCTCTCCAAGACTCCCTTTTCACTGTGCAATGAGAAGAGCAGGCATCGCGTGCACCCGCTAGCAGCCAAATGGGTTCTTATTAAACACAACTGTGTCAGTTGCTCATGACGTCACTTAATGGGACAGGTGACATCACAAAGGCTGCTGGGGATAGCAGAAACAATGAAGTTACGTAGTTGCGTGGTACCGAATTGGTGAGGTTCCAAGCAAGCACAGCGAGCAAATTGCATGGCACAACGTCACGCCTGCCACGCCTGGGCTTCAATGTGTAAAGCCCATTGCAAGGCAATGAATGACCTTGATAGACATGGCATAGTAGAACGTGTGCTCTAAAAATAAAACTGGTGCTCGAAATCTGAGCACAGACTGCGTTCTCGACCCTTCCATCACACCTGCTTTAACAAAGTGATTAAGTGCCCACATTTCCTTTACCTGCGCAATAACATTCCACAGCAAACTACCGATACAAACATTTAAAAAAGAAAGCTCAGCAAGGCAGCCATCACATATCTCCCACTTTCTCAATCACCATTTTTTGCAGTGCTCAAAAACATGACCTTTGAGATCTAATTTTGTTACGGGTCATATTCACGCCAGTGATTCTTGAGGTCGCGGAATCAAGGCAGTTGTCGAAGACCGAACAACTTTTACCTGGCAATAAAGCGAATGCCAAACTGCACAGTGCTACTACTAATGCACAAAGCTAATGCACGTAGCATGGCATTTGCGGCAGCGTTTTCTACCTGAAAATTGGGAATAACTATTTCCTGCATAAAGCTCATGTAGACATGATACAGTGGACAGCCGTGAGATGTTTATAATTGTTTTACTTTATACGAAATGTTCAAAGCCACACCGTTTCAGCAGATGCATTGAACCATTTAACAACTTACCCCATAACGTCGGCGAGCCTTTCAGCGCTTGCCCTGCCCTTCAACATCAGGCTGAACTCTGTGGGACTGATGAGCCGATTGCACATGGGCCGGTCACCTTGCCACACGACGCGGCAGCACACCTCGTCCTTGCCGCCGACGGTGCAGACCAGGTAATCTACTTGGACGACGTCACCCTCCTGAAGGACACTCTTGAACTGACCCACGCGGGGCACCCTGTTCTTGTGGAAAGTTAAAAACTCGATGTTCCTGCACCCCTCGGGCTCCTGAACCTCGCATATGGCACGGTTGTCGTCGACGACCTTCAGGATGCCCTTGCTGTTTGGGTAGACTGCCACGTTATGCTCCGCATTGGCACAAAACTTGGTCGGTGCTTCAACATTGTCAGTACCTTTACAAGGGACTGCAGGCATATCTGCCAGGGCAAGGGGGAGGGCACTGCGAAATGCACACTCGCTCTGATCGACAAGTGGATGCAGAGGCCGATCACCAGTCCACATGAGCGTGGCCACCCACTTGTCCTGTTCTGCTTCTACTGCATCCACGAACACCTCGACTTCGTCCTGGAGTGAACAGTCCTTCATCAGCTCAACGAATGACTTGAGCTTCTTCCCACCACAGTACGCCACGTCGACCACCACTCGTACAATGATGTTCTGGTCGAAGGCCGCGACAAGGCCCGTGTTTTTTGAGTTCGGGTAGAACGCACCCCTGATGCCCGACAACTTTTTACGTGCAGAGAACTCTTTTGTTTTAATGGAGCGCTCCGCTATTTCACTGTACGACAGAAAAGCCTCATCCCCACTGTCGCTCGCTTGCCCGGACTGATCACACGGAGCCTTCGTGATGTTAGTGGCCAACCACTTGGCGATGGTGGACGGCTTGGGATTTGAACGAATGTCAAACTGCACCTTGCTTCCAACCTTAAAGATGTCATCCAAGTTCTTCCTAGGCTTGAGCAAGGATCTGTGCACATCGTGAATGTAAAAAGCAGCGCACTGTTTATTGTCCTGTCCAAACACAATGAACCCGTGGCTCGGGTTCACTGCTTGGATTGTGCCGATACGCCCATAAATCACGCCACTCTCAGCTTCCCTGGGCATCCGACTTGGCGCAGGGTTCTGTTGCATCTTTTTCAGTGCTTGTATACGGGTTGCCTGATATTTCGCCCTGTGTCCTGGTGGGCTTCTCACAGCGTCTATTAAGACACGGTCACCTACCTTAAGCCAAGACTTCGTCAAGTCGTTGTGTCTGTTCCCATCAAAAAGCCTCTTATCAAAAAAAACGCTCACGCAATATGGAGGTTCCAAGCACACGAAGCCATAGAGCATCAGCAGCTTTGAGATGCTGCCGGCGACGTTGTTAAGCTCGGCAGGTGGGTCTCCACTGGCTAATTGTTGTTGCTTTTCAGCCGGCTTACAGCTTTTCAGCCTGAACTGTTTTTCGCCAAGTCCTTCGAGTGTGTACACTTTGTCCTGGACTACAACGATAGAGTCGGGGAACTGCTTTGCTATGAGCTTTATCGTGTCTTCATTTGCGTTATAAGGACCGAGCACTGATCGTGGAAGTTGCGAGAGAACTCCCCGCAGCCTGCTAAGGTCCACACCCTCTTCAGCTTTCACGGCCTTGACAAGATGAGCCAATATGTGGCCAAGTGCAGCAAGGTCATCGTGGTCGGAAAATGACATAGCCACTGGCGGGTAGTATGACGTGAGCACTGCGAGAACATTTTTGATGATCACCATGGTGCGAACCACCAAGTAAGAATTGAAGAAACTTTAGAAGCAGCAAGATGGTACTTCCCAAGTAACCATGGATATCCGCTGGCTGTCCATTATGAATACAAATGTCTGGCCGTATGGATATCCAACACGGATAGCCAATGGACGTACTGTGAAAATCAATGTCCCAAGTGGGTGTTTTCTGGATGTCCGAACTGTCCAGATCGAGCTGTATCGATCGAACTGCATGTCCGATCGGACATTAAGTTTTGAACATTGACTGGCTGTCCATATAAGGACATGCCATAGATATGTGCATTAGCTGATCAATTATCGTATAAATAGTTTGCAGTGAAAATATATATAGCTCTGCAGAAACCCGGGTGACAATCTTGTAAAATTTCCTTGAGAATGCTACTATAAAATCATTCAAATTTCGGCACCCGCATTTGATCCCAGGATGTAAATAATTTTGCTTCCTGAAGCCGAAAAATCTGTTTGATTCAATATGTGTATTATATGTCATAAGAAAGTATGTATTTAGTATTATTATTATCGTATGTGAACTGACGAAAATGCGGATCGAGCGCATCATAGCAGTCACCATGTAGGCAAACTCATGTGGCCTCAAAACTTCTCATCAAGCAGTGCACCGCGGTTGCTCAGATTTCTCGAATGTACACGTCATGTAAGCCGTGTCCTTCTTGATGTGTAGGGAGAAAACTCGCATCATTGTGCCCATTGTCCCGAAACCTGCTTGACCAGCGGCGCGCACTGAGGGAAGGAGCATGGGAAAGGAAGGTGTTTGTGTCGTGTTGCACATGTGTACGCTAAAAACAAAAATCAGGCGCCTTCTTCCTCTCCTAATCACTACCACCACCACCACGCTGAGCCGGTCTTCGAGCGGCAGAAGGCAGATTTTTTTTTTTCAAGTGCGCCCATGTGGACATCAACAGCAGCATGTGAAGTTACAAAAGATGAGTTTACTACAGGAAACACCAAAATGCGACTCGAGCCTGCCACTGTTTTCAGCAAAGATTACCACGCCAAGCAGCAGCAACCCCGCTCATTCGCACGGCACGGATAAGGCCACGTGTTTTATGTATGTTCTTTACATCTCATATCAGACATTTATCTGTTCTTATCACACGTTAACTATTGTCCATCATTTGTATAGGCCCTGCTAATATGTGGCATGCTTCCAGTTCTTCATTTGCTCGCATATTCCTTGCTATTAACCGATTTAACACAAGGACGCGCTCCGCGTCTCTGCACTTTCTTTAGAAGCACGTGCTACACCCATTAGTTTTTTTCCTGTGCTTGTCTGTATGTACTTATTGCAGTTACTAGAAGAACATTGGCATAAACTTGCACAAGTTGGAGTTGTTGCTAATCACTTAATTTAATAAACCCTCAAAGAAGCAATTGCTGCCTTCAAGAAGTCATCGTACTTGAAGGCAGAAGGGAATTGAACACTGAAATATTGTGAACCTACGTACACACTTTCACAATCATGACTGCAGACTGAAAGTTATGTGCTTCTTAGCATTGATATATGTTGATATGAAAGGCTCAATTGTTCTTGAAAGCCCACTTAGACTCATTTCTTTTTAAATGCGAAGCATTTCTTAGCGAACTTCGACAACTTTGAGCGTATCTATCTATCTGACCGCTTATGTTTGGGTGCTTTCGTGGTCACCCCCTTGGCGTGAACTAAAATTACTATGGGAGGGTTAGATGGTTTTACGAATATGACACGCTGGTCACAACATGAATAATGTCACTATCCCGCCACATACGTCGTAAAACACTTCTCACCAGACAGTGACAAATACCCACAGGTGATGGCACTTAAAGTCTACTCAGAAAGGACGAGAACACACATGGGCAATTTTAACGAGCGAGCGTTAAGAAATACAGGACATCGGTAGCGTTGACCCCACAAATGCAAATAATAAATGTCAGAGTCTCAGCTGGAGTCAAACCCAAACATTCTGCACCGCAATGAAGCACTTTACCACAGAGCTACACCAGGTATCAGAACAATAATTTTTAAATAAACACTAACACTTCTCACCAAACAGTGACAAATACCCTAAGGTGGGTATGTGCCACTGGTATGCAGGTATGTGCCACAGGTGATGGCACTTAATATCTACTCAGAAAGGACGAGAACACACATGGGCAATTTTAACGCGCGAGCGTTATGAAATACAGGACACCGGTAGCGTTGACCCCACAAATGCAAAGAATAAATGTCAAGTCTCAGCTGGAGTCAAACCCAAGCATTCTGCACCGGAATGAAGCACTTTGCCACAGAGCTACACCAGGTCTCGGAACAATACTTTTTAAATAAACACTAATCTTTGTGAAACTTCAATAGTGGTTGCAGTGTGGCCTACCCAATTTTATAAACATTATATATCTACTCCTTTGATACAGCCATCACGTCAGGTTAACGTCACTTTTGGTTAGGTGCCATGTGCTGAAGTTGATTTATGTAGCAGTTCCCAGGGCCAGCTTCCTCGCAAGCATCAGCTCTTCATGTCAGCTTTTGGCGTTGCTAATCCGCATGTTTCAGTTGGTATCATTGCGCAAGTCAAGTGCAATCGACTGGTTATATAAACATCTGCAACTCTTCAACATATGTCTGTGTGTGCAACGTTTGTACATATATTTAGCGTCGTTTTATGACGTGTCGCTTACAACACGGTCACCTTCCCTCTGCATTCTTCGCACGTCAATTCCCAGGTATGTGGGATCCGCCCCGAATATTTTCTTTTTTTTTGAGAATTCATTGAAAGGTTTTTCTTGAATATGCACTAGCTATATACACACAAACATAGTATATATATATATATATATGTATATATATATGTTCTCTGAAGGGTCTGTAAATGTCCATGTTGGCTGTCCTAGGTGGATGTCGAGCGATAGTACAACTTTTACCTATGTACATTTGATATACGTCCACTGGACACACAGTGTACATTCGTGGACATTTGATGGATGTCGGGAATATCCTGAATGTACGTTTCGTTGTATGCCGACCAGATATCCGTGGTTACTTGGGTTTTGAGTACTTTGGAGCGCCTTGTTGCAATTACATGCACACTGCTGAAGACGTCAGAGATCTGCAAACACTTATCATCTAGGGCTTCATGTCCTGCAACCACGATATGATTATGAGATGCCATAGTAGCGGGCTTCAAAAATTTTGACCATGTGGTGTTCTTTAATGTACACTGATATCACACAGTACACGGGCCTCTACTGTTTTGCCTCTGCCGAAAAAGCGATAGCCATGGCCGGGATTGGACTCGCGACCTTCAGGTCAGCAGCCAAGCACCTCTCTAACGCTATGGCGTTAGTAAAGATCATACTTAAGTTGACAAACATCATCCCAAATAGTACTGGCATACTCTAAAGCAGTACTGCTGTGTCTCTAAATACCATAAGCAGCAACTGAATTTGTACCTTCTCAGTTTAAATGATAACTAACCTGTCCACAAAGCCTGAATCTTTATTTGGAATTTATACATGATCAGACCATGTAACTTCAGATAATGAAGACATCCAAATGATTCGATCGGCAGAGTCTCTTTCATAAGTGTCGTTTTCTTTGGCCCCACTTGGCCCAACAAGATTAAGTGTTAAGGTAATGGTAAAACTAACCTAGTATTATTTCTCGCATCGATACACAGCATGACAAATGTTGTAATTATGGTATGAGTGCCAATTCTTTTTGTGCACAACAAACTGCGTAATTTTACTATGTGATGAACTAGAAATGCTTTACCAGGCTGTAGTGCCCCTTATAGGCACGGGCGCACTTACCGCTGCTTTTGCAAAACTACACAAACTGAGCGGTGGTGCAGCGCGGGATGTCATCCTTGCACTCAGCTAAGACTGTGACAGGTAGGGTACAGTCCACTACTGTAGTCGACTGTTTTACATGTATCTACACCCCCAAATACAATCTTCCCAGGTCTCGTTTTAACAACGCTCTTAGTCCTAATCAAGTATTACACATGGCAAGTATACTCCTTCCTAGCCCAATACTTGATACAGAACACCCACCAAACATTACTTCCCTATGTTCACTTACAAGGGGCCTTTATGCACTTTTCCATGATTTCAGGATTAAATAAACCTTTTTAATTCTCATTAATGATCTACCCTATATACAACAATTACCTAGAACCACTACCAACTTTTTATCAGCATTTCTGCAGTCCCAAGAAGTTAGCCTCGCTAAGTGAAATGACCGCTGGTTTTCAAGAGGCCCACGCGAATGTTTGAAGAAATGCACAGAGCGCGGATCGCCTGCATAATTGACGCGTGCAATTGTGCACACTGCCACCGAAGGGGACAATAAAGCACCATCGCAAAACTTCTTCCCTGCCTTGATTACTTGCAAGATTTTCAGGTGCCACAACCACACTACGATTGTAAGGCCCACTAACACACTCAACTTTAAGGGCCCTTTTGCAGCAGAGCTGTTGGGGTCGAGCTCAGCCACGTGCTGCAGATATAAAATGACCAGCACCATAAACCGGCATGAGCTCACTCAATCACCGCCGAAGTACTTTCAACTTTGTTTCAGACAAAGACAACTAATGTGTACATTTGTCCTGTCTAGGAGGTGTGACAAAAAGGCACGAGTGCCTGACTGGGTGTCACATCCCTTTCTGGACACACATAACTCAAACTCTAGTACAGATGAGTAATGAGAGGAACTGCAATGCGTGGCTCCTAATCGGCGCTTGACGCCCATGAGTTTTGATAATTTTTAGAGGACTTTTGCTGTGCGTAGTGGAATTCGCCAAATTTCTGGGGCACATAGGCACTATAGATGTTTTATAGCAAAGCTTTACGGTCTAGGATTGGCCAGCGGCATTGAGAGAAAGTGATAGATACACAGACTTCAAGTAGGGGTGTGCGAATAGTGAAATTTCATATCGAATCGAATAGTGCTGCAGTGCCCCAAAAAATCCATTCGAGTATCTATTACAAAAGATGTCATTGAAAATTGAAAGCAGGAACAAAAATCTAAATATGCTCCCGCCATCAAGTACATAACGTGCTAATTTACTTCTTGAGAAAAATTATAAATAAGCATGTTAATGGAAGAGCTGCTAATTTAGTCGGCAGCGGCTTTTCTGACCCATCTGCTAACCGAGGAAAGTACAGCAGCAATTTTCTTCTCCTATGGCCACGCAATAGGCTATATCTGACAACCATAACGCTATACTTCTTCATTATGAGTGCTCGAGACCAAACGTTTTTGGGCGCCTGTTCGCAGCAGCATGTTAATTGTGTGCGGGAAGGATGGAAGTCTCTGAATGAGCGGCGCAGCGGTGGCAACTGGAGAGCATGAACACATTTTCACGTGCGAAGGCTATCATTGAGGGTTCCGAGGGCCAAAGTCGGGAGGCTTTATATATAAACCTGCAGCCTACGTGACCAAACTCCGCAAAGTCTGTGCCTTCGTTTTGGTAGCAAAGCTGTGAAAGGGCCTCAGCCTTCTAAAGTGTTTTGTTTTGCGACCATAAATTACGCAATTTTAAATTTTTTTAGTAAGCATGCGCTCGGTTTCGAACCAAGATATTGGTGAAAATGCCTGCTGTAAGATTGTGAGCTTTGGTTTTAGCGACCCCACCTAAACCAAGTGGCTCTGACGGCCACTGTCGTGCTTTAGATCCTGTCGAATTAGTCGGAACTTCTAATATTATCTATTGCAAAATCTGGTCGAATCATTTTATTCGAAACTCAAATATTTCCTCACTTCTACTAAAAATATAAAAATAGAGCAAGCACACTCATGTATATTCCCAAAGCCTAGTCAATCTTAATGCAAGCTATGCTAACTGTTGTTTTTCTAGAATCGTTTGCAAAGATATAAAATGCCCATTAAAGATAAGTACAAAAACAAACTGCAACATGCAGCTTGAAAATTTAACCCACCAATCTTTGATCATCTGCCAACCTTCAATTTCGTGTCGAATTCCCAAAAGGTAGCTTGGAACTATAGGGTAAAACTACAAACCACATTTGCCCCACAAAAATCCAACAAGGGAACCATGAATACTGTGTTACTTTTTTTTTAATTAGCATGAATTGAGCTATGCACACTACAATATACCGGGAGTCTTTAATTTGAACCTGTGAAAACTTGTATTACGTTAACATTTATTTTATTAACATTTTGCTCATTACAAACAAAAGTAGTGTTCTGAATGGGTGGTGTAAATTTAAAGCAAGGTCTAAATGTGCCTAATACACAGCAATTATCTTTGAAAATATGTCGGAAGTTCACGACGCATGGCCATATATATATATAAATTCTCACTGGAATCGAAGACTCAAAGAATGTAGAAAATAAGGAGCTTTAGCAATGGGTGCAGCAAACAGATTGAAGAGGGTGCACATAACACACTGCGATTTCACAAGAAGTATATACATCTTACACGTGACATCATAAATACAAATGCATGAAATGATCATGCAAGCCTGGCTACAGAATAAATGTACAATCATGATCAACTCTGCGACAAAATCAACTGGGGCCCCATAGACATAGAAGTAGTAAAATTTCAGTTCCTAAGATGGTAAATGAAATGACAGGTTTTTTTTTTTCAGAAAATATTGTTTACCAGGACACTTATATATATAAAAACACGGAAAAACGAGCCTTTAGGTATACACTTCTTTCCTTATTCATTAACAAGGGTCTCGTACTGGTAGACTTTGTGCTTTTAGGTTGTATAGGAGGGACTATTGGTCAGCTGCCCACTCGTAACAAGTTTACGTGCTACGTAACGCCAAACAGGCTCAAAAGAGTGTGTCACACTCGCCGCCATGGCTACTGGTGGCACTGACCGACACTCCCACGTTTAATTCTCATATAAACCCTATACAGTGGCTATGAGTGGCTGGGGGGATAGCTGTCGTGGTAGCTCAGTGGTAGAGCATCGAACGCGTCATTCGAAGGTCGCAGGTTCGGATCCTGCCCACGGCAAGTTATCTTTTCACCCATTTTTCTTCATACTTACATTACAATTCCGTTTAATATCTTCCCCTATACTTTCCTTGGCAGTATTGTCTGTTAGATCTCATTAATATTGTGTAAAAACACGGAAAAACGAGCGATCTAACAGACAGTAATGCCAAGGAATGTATAGGGGAAGCTATTAGAACCAATGGAATGTAAATAAGAAAGAAAAGTGAGTGAAAAAATGACCAGCCGTGAGCTCACCGCTGGTTATTTTTTCACCCACTTTTCTTTCTTATTTACATTCCATTGGTTCTAATAGCTTCCCCTATACATTTCTTGGCATTATTGTCTGTTAGATCTCATATATATATATATATATATATATATATATATATATATATATATATATATATATATATACATACATACACACACACACACAGAGTCCACCAGGAAGGAAAGATCGGGCCTACCTCATTTTCAAACTGTCAATTATAGTCAACCATTCAATCTGCCCCACAATATCATATGCTTGAATGCTAATGAATTAGTTTTCATTAATTGCAGGTAGTGCTAATCACGATATACAAAATTATAGTGCATTCAAATCTGGAGGAACATCGGACGGCTTTCCACCCAAGAAATGTGCGCCCTTGTTTCTCGATGCAAAGAAAAAAAAAAAACTGCAGGTCAAGTTATATCCTCGGCAAAGTATTAACCACATACCGGTAACCCTAGAACGCGAGCTTTCTAGCAAGGTTGAAATCTCACATCTCCGTGATTTGGAACGCGCACTAAATAACGGCAAGTAGGTCGTCAATAAATAATGGCTGTAATTACCGCGACACATTAGAGAGCTTTAGAATACCGTTTGCACGCGCTGCGGGCGTCATAATGCCACCCACACGTAGTGGGTCGACTGCAAGAGCGGCTCTACCATCTGGAGGAAAGAAAGAAGATTGTGTGTCTCTTCTCGGCTCGAGAGCCAGCCACGACTGACGCATCGCCCTAGAGCTAGCTACCCGGTCGTTACAATCTTACATACAGCGTTTGCCCTGCTGCAAACTGCAACGCACGGTCGCCATGACATATTGTAGCCTCGAAACCAGCGCTTGCGGGCACACGCGGGATTTCCAAATTTCGGTCGCCGTGACATCGTAGCCTCAAAACCAGCGCTTGCGGGCACATGCGGGACTTTTGGGCACAGTTTCGGACTTTCTGCGTGCGGTCCGCGTACGCAGACTCGCGTTACGACGCGTGCGCAGTGGCAGCGACCGCAGCGCAAGGGCTCGCGGTGCGCTATTCTAAAGCTACCTATTAATTAGGTTGCGGATTATCACGTAATACGTCACCGAACGCCAGCTTTTCAGCAGGCTTGGAATCGCACGTCGCCACGACGGGGAACGCGTTCCCATTAACGGCGAGTAGGCAGCCAATCAATAAAGGTTTTAATTCCCGGGCCAAACTAATTAGGTAACGGATTATTGCGTAAAACAACTTCCAACGCGAGCTTGTTAGCATGGTTAAAATCGCACGTCGCCATGAAACGCGTTCCAATTAACGGCAAGTAGCCAGCCAATCGATAACGGTTTCAATTCCCGGGGCAGATCAAGTCGCGGATTGATGCGTAAGCCAACTTCGAACGACCGCTGGAACCCCTGCAATGATCGGTGAATAGCGAATAAACGCGTTCCTGGTCGTAGTTGACACATCGAACGCGCATCGTGAAAGACATCGGCGTCTCGTGTGTTTTGTTAAATCGAAAAATGCGGTGGTCGTGACATTTAAACCCATACGCGTACGTTTCAACCTGCGATAAAGACAGATTGCCAAAGACGACGAACGGCAATCGCGCATGAAACGTCACGCAAAAGGAGTTTGATGTCCCGGCGAAATCCCACGTTTCGCGCAATTTGGAGCCTCGCCAGTATTAAAACAAGAAAAAGTGCGAATCAGATCAGCGACAGATTGACAGCGAGGATGCCCGAGTGTTGCCATGTCAAGGAAAGAGAGCTTACCGGGACATGTCTGCGCGACGCGCTGCTGACGACGCAATGACTGTGCATCTTCGAACACCCAGGCACGTAACACGGCTGGAACCCCGAGGTGATGATGATGATGATGATGATGACCTCTTATGGATGGTGCTCACCCACAGAGGCGGATGGGCCAAGAACCGGGCGGCAGGATACTTAAATGAAACTAAAATGAAAAGGAAGCCAATCTGAAAAAGTAGTTTCAAAATAATATTACCAAAAAAAAAAACTAAAATGTTTGCTGAGCAAGCGGTCAAACCATCTCTTGTTTTTGATAGACATAACTACGAATTATAAACTAAATATCCGAAAAGGTTAGGGTTCACTAGCACGGTAATCTTTTAGTTGCGTTGATGTAATCAAACACTGTGGAGCATACATCCCCGTGGCAGTAACCAAATGAAGTTCCGCCAAGTGATAAAATTACTGGTAGTTTTACTTGTATTCCTCGTTTTTATAATGGGGCTACTAAAAATTTTTTTCTCTGATAAGATAACGATGGTACAGTGGCTAGAATAGGGAAGTGTGATGAACGCGCCGGCTAGCGCGTAACGCCTTGGGAGAAAACCGCCAGATGACGCTGGCACACGTTTGCACGTCACCCAAGACCGCGATGCGCGGGCAATATGAAACATTTAAAATATATATATATTTTTTTTTTGCTCGTGGACAACTTCAAATGGCAACCGAAAAAAAAATGTTATGTAGCTTCTGGAAAACAGGATGCCTACGCGGGTGCACGACTGATCTGAAATATCGTCAGGTCGACAGGATGCCGAAAGTGAGCGCGTAAAGGTACTGAAACATTTTTATCGATAAGAAGTGGTAGAAAAGTGGAACGATGAACTCAGTTGGGAGCCATTGCTTGCAACACTTTTCACGGCGAACCATCAGTTTCTCGAGCACTAATGTGTAAATAAAGCCCCATCGATCGAAACGTCATAATCAAAGGCGAGAACCACGAGCGGTATCTGAATGAAATCCTTTTATTTTCTGCACAAAGGTGATAGAACACAATTCCGAGTTGTGACTCACTATCTGTTTACAACAATGCATTCTTAATGATTTGTTGCACGTCCTTTTTTATCCGCAAGAAAAAAAAAAGTTTACTAGTTCACAAGCGCCCCACAGGACATTGCGCTGCAAGCCTATAGGTGATGCGCCTGAGCTTCAGGTACTTCCTCTTTTCACAGAAAGATGCTCGCTTTTTGTGGAGTACCTGTGTGTAAAAACGCAAATGGGTGAGCAGAAAGAAAAAAAACTTGTTTTCTTGATTGGTGAGGCTCGGACCATGTTGTGCGCAGCCCAGTGTGACATCTTTTTTTTTTTTCAAGCAGGAAACAAGCTTTTAGGGGCGAAGCTCCTTAAGGCGTGGGCTGTGCGTCCCCTGTATGTAGCCACCTCTCGTTCAGTTCTTGCAGTGTTCACTAGATGGCGGTACTTGTAGCTGACGGCATTAAGTATTACGCTAGCCACCGCTCGATCTAAAGGGTACAGCCATGTCCATCCGTCCGTCCATCCATCCATCCATCCATCCGTCTGTCCGTCCGTCCATCCATCCATCCATCCATCCATCCAAAAGATGCAAGATGTTATAAACTAGACGGCGGTACGTGTAGTTGATTATGAAAGATGCGAGGTATTATAAAATAGGAATGATGCTACATATGGCGCGTGTCATCGTTCGATATAGTGCGGCGACGTACGCTAGGGGGAGCGTTGCAATAAAATCGAGTGGGCAAAATGTACGGAGGATTCATGGTTTACCAGGTTTACCTCCGGAGCTTCGCCCACTCATCATCATTCCCTTCATGGGTGTGGCGGCACTTTTTTTCAAGCTGTCACTGTGAAGCTTGTTTTAGCTAAAGCACTTTGAAAAGGTGATTTCAAAGACGTCCACAAATGCGAAGAGCTTCTCCGAAAGTCCTACCCACAGGGGTCGGCACGAGGGGGGGGGAGCAAAGGGGGCTGGCCACCTGGGAGGGGGGCGCTAAATCTCTTCTATACATTGACTAGGCAGCGGGGGCACTCTTTTAGTCACCTAGAAGGGGGGCGTAAACTCTGCCTCATACACTGATTTAAGAGAAAGGAGGCACCTTGCAATGAACCTTCGCCCCCCTTCCCCTGAACGGCAAGCACGCCTATGGGCCTACCCCTTTCAATGCGGACAGTTTTGCCCATCACAGTGTGCTCGAAGTGCCGAGAGATGTACCTCTCGCCGAAGTGCAGCTCGCACACAGCCGAGTTTTCTTGAAGCAGCCTGTCAGCGCGCGGGATCGCCCTACACCACTGCGTTAACAGAGCTTCGTCCTTTGGAACGCCGAACAACGCATGCTTCTTTTTAGCTGACTTAAAGCCTGTAGTAAACCCCGGGACGAAGCAATGACTTTGTTTTCGCGCCATGAGAGTGCATACAGAAGCATTGGTGGCAGAGTGGCACCGCAAATTTAAAAAAAACAAGGACGAACGCGCCTGACGAAACTGTCGGAAACGTGCAAACGACGTATGGATAGATGAATGGATATGACTGTACCCTTTAGATCGGGCGGTAACTAGCGCCACCAAGCCGTAATACTTAATGAACCAAAAAACTAGATTTATTTTCTTTCTTTAAAAAGTGAGTTTGAGGATTCGCACTTTGCAGTGAAGAGGTTAATTTTCACTCGCGCCTTGACTTTAGCCACCAATCAGATAACCTCCTTCTAGTTAAGTCTACCCGCTTAAAGTCTATTTTGCCCTCCCGGTCCCTAAACCCCAGTGCTTTGAAAAACTCTGCGCCATCATCCTGAACTATAGGGTGAAGCCCTTTACAGAACATTATCAAGTGTTCGGCAGTTTCTTCTTCCTCTCCACACGCACTGCATACTGTGTCTACCCCTTCGTATTTGGCCCGATATGTCTTGGTTCGCAGTACTCCCGTCCTGGCCTCAAACAGCAGAGAACTACCCTGAGTATTATCATAGATCCTTTCCTTGGCAATTTCCTGCTTAAAAGTTCGATAGATCTCTAGTGCGGACTTCTTAATCATGCCCATTCTCCACATGTCAGTCTCCGTTTCCTTCACTTTCTTCTTAACCGATAGTTCTTTTTTGGTTTGGTCACCTGCTGTTTTCTAAGTATTTACCAGTCAATTTCCTGGTTCGCTTCCTCCATTTTGTATCGACATTCTTCATGTACGAGTAGCTGAAAACCTTCCTAGCCCAACGCTCCTCCCCCATTTCTCTCAATCGCTTCTCAAATTTTATCTTGCTGCTAGCTTCCCTGCCCTCAAATGATGTCCATCCCATATCACCTTGTACTCCCTGATTTGGTGTATTCCCGTGAGCTCCTAAAGCAAGCCTACCTATTCCACGTTGCTTAATTTCTAAACTTGCTTGAACTTCTGATCTCATGCACAAGACCGCATTGCCGAACGTCAGCCCAGGAACCATGACCCCTTTCTATATTCCTCTCACAACATAACACCTATTGTAATTCCACAGTGCCCTTATTTTCATGACTGCTGCATTCCTGTTACCTTTAGTCGTCACATATATTTCGTGTTCCCTCAGGTACTCGGTTCCATTGCTTATCCATACGCCCAGATATTTGTATTTATCTGCAATCTCTAGCGTGACCTCCTGTATTCTAAGCTCACTACCTTCGTTGCCATTGAAAATCATGACTGCTGATTTTTCCTTACTGAATCTAAAATCTAACCTATCTCCCTCATTACCGCAGATGTCCATCAATCTCTGCAAATCTTCCTTGTTGTTGGCCATTAGCACTATATCATCTGCGTACATTAATGCTGGTAGTGCCTGATCAATAAGTTTTCCTTGTTTGACTAAAGAGAGTTTGAAGCCCAGTCCACTTCCCTCTAATTTGGCCTCTGATCCTTGTAGGTACATCATGAATAATAAGGGTGACAGGGGACACCCCTGCCTTAGCCCCCGTTTTACCTCTGCAGGCTTGGATACCTGTTTTTCCCACTTTATAACTACCTTGTTACCTTTATAGATATCCTTTAAAAGATTAGTGACTACAAGTTCCACGCCTAGTGTGTCCAGTATTCCCCACAATTCCTCTTGAACCACGCTATCATGCGCTCCCTTGATATCCGAAAATGCTAGCCACAGGGGCCTGTGTTCCTTTTCTGCTATTTCGATGCCCTGCGTCAGTGAGGACAGATTGTCTTCCAACCTCCTGTGTTTCCGAAACCCATTCTGCAGTTCCCCCAGCACCCCCTCATCCTCTATCCATGCCTGCAGTCTTTCCTTTATAATCTGCATCGCCATCCTGTAGACCACTGATGTCACTGTTATAGGACGGTAGTTGTTTATGTCAGCTTTGTCCCCCTTTCCTTTATAGATCATGCTCATCCTTCTAAGTTTCCATCCATCGGGAACTTCACCATCGATTATTATTTTGCTCACTGCCTCTCTCAAAGACTGCTTAGACTTCGGACCTAATGTCTTTATCAGCATAATTGGAATGCCATCTGGACCTGTTGATGTACTACTAGGAACCCTTTTCTCAGCCCTTTCCCACTCTCGTTGTGAAAATGGAGCCATTGCACCACTTGATTCGTCCTTGTCTATTGTGGTGCATAAAGTACTTCTTTGTTGATATTTTTCTGTCACCCGTGTCCTTATATATTCAATAGCTTCGTCCCCTTCTAGCCTAGCACCTTGGGCTGTAGTTATAAAGCTCTGCTCTAGGCTCGTCTCATTTCTTAGGGAGTTTAGATGGTTCCAAAATTTCGCAGCTGCCTTTCTATCTTTTTTATGTACTTCTGCCAGCTACTGAGCTCCCTTTCTTCTAATCTTTTCATTGATCAGAGGGATGCATCCCTTCTACAGCTTAGAAAGGTTTCCCATTTTCTTTCAACATCATCTGTCGGTTCACCCCACTGCTTAGCATGTCTGTGTTCCCTAGAGGCTTCCTGACGTTTTGCTATGGCTCTCTTAACTTCCTCATCCCACCAACTTTTGGGTTTGTGTCTTGTTTTCCGGGGTGACTTGTCACGCGTCTTAGCAAGCTCTAGCTCAAAGAGTCTAATTAGATTCGTGTATGTCCACAC